CTACAGTCAAAAAATAGGTGAGCACAGGACAGTAAGATACTTTGAGAGGGAGAGAGACCACATCACATAACTTTCATGGTCTATTTTTAGATTTACTCTATTTTGTTGTGAATTTCGTACTGTGCCTAATTTATAAATTAAACTTTAGCACAACAGGTAAGTATATATAGGAAAAAACATATAGGGTTCTGTGTTATCCAGATGCCCATTTCAGCCATTCACTGGGGGTCTTGGAACATGTCTCCTGCAGGTAAAGGGAGTGGGAGACTCCTGTTCTTAGAGACATAAGATGATAAAAAATGGTTTTATGTTGTATTTGTGGCCTCTATTGAAGCCCAAGGAAATCATAGAAGATTTCAGTTTGAATACCTCCAAAATTTCATGGTTAAACCTCCATAAGTACACATAACAAATGTCCAAAGCACATTTGAAATTAAGATTTTATAAGGTATAGCTAACATTTTTAAGAACACGTTATGTGTAAAATTCTATCACAGATTTATGCCTATCTCAGGTGTTGTGCAGGGCGCCTCATGGCTTCCAGGTACACATTCCACCACGTGGACGCATTTCAGAACTGTTATCTATAGCTAATTGACAAGACTAAAAAATTAAGCTCTTCTCATGGAAGAAAGGAAAGTAAGACTTAATGTCCTGATCCTGATTTGAGAACTATATTGTTGTAGAACGTGCTGAAAGGTACCTGTTTAATAGCTTGGGGAAAATCTTAAAAAAAACAAAAACAAAAAAACATAGTTTTTGAACCTGGCCATGTCACTGGGTCTAGTACATGACAAACCTGGGAAGTTGGTAGCAGAACACAGGGTCAGAATAAAATATAAGAAATCACTGTAGCCTGACAATCTGCAAGACACACCAAGCAGACAAGTGGGAAGACTGTGGGACGTGTGCACACATTTAAAGCAACAATTCTGAGATGTGTCCATGTGGTGAAGTGTGCACCTACCTGGAAGCCATGAGGTGCCCTGCAGAACACCTGAAACACTGGTAAGTGTAAATCTGTAACAGAAACTGAGAACATCAGAGCTAAGTGACAACTTAGGAACACAAAGGAGGAGACAGCAGACACTGGGGAAGGGTGGGAAGAGAGAGAGAGGAGCAGAAAGATAACTGTTAGGTACTGGACTTCATTGGGTACTGCGTGATGTAATAATATGTACGACAAACCCCTGTGATGTGTTTAACTGTGTAACAGACCTTCACATGTACCCCCAAATCTAAAATAAAAATTTAAAAAAGAAAAAAACCCTAAGAATAATTTGACACCTATCATGTTATTAAAAAGTTAGATATACCGTATAAAATTTTAATTCCAAATGTGCTTTGAACATTTGGGTGTGCAACAACAAAAACAAGCCTAACAAACTGAGTTTGGGGGATTCAAAAAATATTTCTTCATCCAAAGGGAATATATACCTGCTATTTTGGTGGCAGACACTAAAAATTAAAGTAGTTTCCGGGAGCAGAATTCAAATTTGAGAAATTTTCACTTGTTTTTTTTCTGTCAGTGAAAATTAGTTTATTTTAGTGATAGACTGTATATTCCATGAAAGAGTGGTGTAAGAGTGCCATCAAAAGCCTGGGATAAAGCAACAGTGAACAAGAAAACAGAAACTGTTAATGAGTTTTAATGATAAAGAGTTTTTGCTGGCCTAAGAGTGTCTGCAAGGCCATCATCGGTTCCCTATAAGCGAGGTAGACCCTCCACTTGGAAGAAGGCATTTCACTGCACCTTACGTAGATGAGGGTGCAGGGACAAAGGTCTACACCTCTCTTAATGAGTACAGCCTTATGGACACAAGACAGTCTGGATCATAACAGGCCACTAAGTACGCTGTACGGTCAGATGCAACAGGTTCTCAGGAGCCAGTCAGCCTTGCTGAGCACTGCTAGCGGTACCTACTGCAGTGGTACTCTGAAACAGCAGTACCAGAGGGTACTAGAGGGAGAAGGCAGAGGCGAGTGTTCAAGGCCCACTATCAGAAATGATCCAGGCCTCTTGGACTAAATCCTAATAATTCATTCAGTCATTCAGTAAATGTTTGAATTCCTGCTATATCAGGCCCTGTTCTGAGAGCTGGGAATATAGTCAACAGTAGACCTCATCCCTGCTTCCATGAAACACATATTGAGAAAGCTTATATTATAATTGGGCCCGCAGATAAACCACTTCATTAAATACTAAGAGAAAGCTTAACTAAATTAGTCTATTATGCAGATAATTTTAAAGACAATTTAAGTTTTACTGAAAGCAAACATAGTTGGGTCTGGGTTGATATTCGTATGCATTTGCGTTCTCTGTACACAGTAACTCCTGCCTCCAGGAGGCATTCTAGAAGGTATTCAGCTCTTCACTGAAACTGTATGCTGCTGTGGTTACCTACCTGTTCCCAATGCTTTCGATGTTGTTCCAGTAAAAGAGTGATCTGTAGCGTTTTGTTTTCCTCAGTATTAAGCAGACATTAATCGTCTTCATTTCCACTGGCAGAGCTTTTATCTCAGTTATCAGGAGTGACACGTTCTGCAGGAGGACAGCTTAATTCCTCTGGCCCTTCCGCTTCTCAGTTACAACAACTGCAGATGCAGCTGCAGCTAGAACGGCGGCACGCCCAGGCCACACGGCAACAACTGGAGACCGCACACAATGCAACCCGGCGTACTAACACAAGCAGTGTCACCACTGCAATCACACAATCCACAGCAACAACCAACATAACTAATACAGAAAGCAGTCAGCAGACTCTCCAGAATTCCCAGTTTCTTTTAACAAGGTAGCTCATTTGTTAATAGAATTTTGTTTGGGAAGTAGTA